AAGACAAGATAATTCGAAATACAATAAATTTCTGACAAGATACATTCGAAATACAATAAATTTCTGACAAAGATACATTCGAAATACAATAAATTTCTGACGAAGATATTCGAAATACAATAAATTTCTGACGAAGATATATTCGAAATACAATAAATTTCTGAATATATTCGAATACAATGAATTTCTGATACATTCGAAATACAATACATTTCTGACGAAGATATATTCGAAATACAATAAATTTCTGACAAAGATACATTCGAAATAGAATAAATTTCTGACAAAGATATATTTGAAATACAATAAATTTCTGACAAAGATATATTCGAAATACAATAATTTCTGGGCGAAGATATATTCGAAATACAATAAATTTGGCGAAGATATATTCGAAATACAATGAATGAAATGACGACGAAGATATATTCGAAATACAATAAATTTCTGACGAAGATACATTCGAAATACAATAAATTTCTGACGAAGATATATTCGAAATACAATACATTTCTGCCGAAGATATATTCAAATACATCTCTTGCTCGGGCTGACTGACAGCTTGAAAAGGGCATTTATATAATGAGGACAAAGATCATTACAGCCATCATAAGATCTAGAGTACGGACCCAAACTTAAAAAAAAGATATAGACAAAACAGAAAGAGATGAGAACCTACTACAAGAGATAAGAACAACGAAGATGGACTGCAGAAAATAGGATTTATTACTTTGGGGAAAAGAAGGAAATATTGTGATATGATTATGCTGTACAATTTTACTGTAGGAAGACAAGTTAAGTAAATGTGACTTTATGATGTTTAACACAAGAAGAATGAGAGGACAGAGATATATATTGAAACTTGGAAACAATCGCCTAAATAACACTGCCAAGAATGTTCATCGTCATTTGTTGTCAAAGAAATATCTCAAGCTTATTCTTGCCATGCACTTTGGAGTTTATTGTCTAAATGCTGACAGACACAGATATTGCTATACTCGTTTAGCGTTGGCATTGCCAGTTTATTTATCAAGGTAGTTTTTTTCTATAGCATTTGTAATAATTATGTCAGAGAAGAATTCTTTAAGAGTTCACGTATTTATCGTTCATGCGTTCTAGTATAATGTAGGCCTATCATTTTGCGAGAATTTGTGTGGATTTTATTCTTGCCAAATTCATGTGAAATTTGCATTTCTTCACTATGTCCGCATTGTGATATCTTTTTCCATCATATTAGTTACATGTGTAAAAACAAACCCAAAACTTTGCTGAGATATTGATTTTTTGACGAGATAACACGTGATGCCATCGTCTTCCCAGAAGTTAGTGCTCTGACCACTGGTAACTCCAATGGCAAGTTGTTAGTGAATACCACCGCTGTCTGTTTACCATGGTAGCTATAGTTACCAGTGATTTTACCATCGTAAGTGCGTTAGTGAATCCGGGCCCGGGATGCCACTGATAAGTCCCTTCAGTTGGCTCTACCTAGTGTGGACGCACGGGTGAGGTGAGCAGGTCCGTGCGTCCACACTAGGTAGAGCCAACTGAAGGGACTTATCAGTGGCATCCCGGGCCCGGATTCATTAACGCACTTACGATGGTAAAATGCATATATACTGTGTATATATATACATATGAAAGATGGAATAATGCCTTACCGCATTTTTATCATGAACATTATAACCTCTCCGATCGGGATTCGATCCCTCGCCGCCAATGCACGTGAATGCAAGACTGCCGCTCTACCACTCGTACACGACCCACTAAATAATTAAGAGCTTACTAGCATCCATAGAGGTTATCTACCTCCGATCGGGATTCGATCCCTCAGCGAGGGACAAGGTTCCATATATATATATATATATATATATATATATATATATATATATATATATATATATATGTATGTATGTATGTATGTATGTATATGTACACACACATACGCATACACATACATACACACACACACACTTACATAGAGAGAGAGGGAGGGAGGGTTATCACTAAAGTCGGAGATAGATGAATACAGAAAAATGCTATCTCGCTCTCTTTCTGTTTTTTTTTTTTCTCTCTCTCTCTATCCCCTTTCTCTCTCTCTCTTACTCCTCCCCGTTCACAGCTTCCCCACTTCAACCCCACATATATCACCATTGTACCTGATACTATATATTGCAATAGACAAGGTTCCATCAAGGTAATGAACCGAATAGTTCTCTGTCCTGTCTGCTGCTCTGTTACGAAAGCCCCTTGTTTATATATATATATATATATATATATATATATATATATATATATATATATAATATATATATATATATATATATATATATTTTTTTTTTTTTTTTTTTTTTTTTTTTTTTTTTTTTTTTATCCATCACGTAATTTATGCAGACAGCTTATCCTGACGTAGGATATGGTGGTCCTTCAACAGCCGCGGAGAATAAGCGTTTTAGGATGAAATGAACCCGTCCATTAAATCCAGTTCTATAGATCACACTTATCGACCATGAATATTTATTTTTTATTTATTTACTTGTATTCTATTTCATTGACTTCATTTCGCAGATGCGTTGTAAAACTCGCTGTTGCTATCGTGCCGCTATAATGTAGCAACTTTCCTTTTTGCATTCTACGAGTGAAGGGTATAAATTGATTCAATTATTGTCCCGTAATTTCACGTCTTAAGCTCATCTCAAGCTCACGCCCGTTCTCGCACTACATCCTCCTCTACATCTCCTCTAGATCTGCCAGTGCTCGTAGACGCAGGCGCTTTGATGGGTACTGATATATACATACATGCATACATACACACACACACACACACACACACACACACACACACACGCATGGACATATATATATAATATATATTATATATAATATATATATGTTACATACATACATATATACATATATATATGTATGTATATATGTATGTATGTATATATACATACATATATATACATATATATATATATATTTATATATGCGTATATATATGTATACACACACAAACACACACATACACACACACACACACACATACACATACACATACACACACACACACACATATATATATATATATATATATATATTATATATATATATATATATATATATATATATATATATATATATATGCATATCTGTATGTATGCATATGTTAGTAAGCCCATATGAGACGGATATTATGAATATAATGAAATACTCGGTGTACACGTTAAAAATTATACGCTACTAAATTGTACTATAAATGTATTTCAATGGGCCCCCAAATACCGATTAGCTGATGACGTATCTGACTTTTTAGTAAATTCAGCTCTGTGTATGTGCACGTATGTATGCATGCGTGTTTATGTTTGATATCTGTCGATCTACATAGAGGTAGATAGATAGACGGGGGTATCAAGTAGCCACGCTGATAAAAAGATTGACAAGCGGATTTTTAGATACCTATGTAAAATTATTAGAACCAATAATTTTTTAAAATAACTAAATTGATTGTCCTTCCACGTATTACCACCTTTGAATTTTCGCGCCATTGTCATAGCATCTTTCAATTTACAGAAGTAAAATAATTTTTAGATAGACGTACAAAAATTATTTAAAAAGAATAAATCTATAGATGAGAATAGCCCTTTTAGATCAAGACTGAGACCAAATCCGGGTAAATAATTAATGGCAAAGATATCTTCCCTGATGAGGCACCAGTCGGCTGCTGAACGTAACAAAGATGGCGTCTCTCGGTGCTCCCGTCCGTGTCTCTCCCTTGATTAAGGTACTTTATACCTCCTATTTTGCCTCCTGGTTGTTTTTAAAAGATTGTTTATGTCGTTTTCTTAATTGTGTAAGTGGATTTACCAAGATCATGTACTGCGATTGCTTGGAAGTTGTGTTTTACGTGAACCGGCCCGTGGGTTGTCTGCATGAATGGAGATCAGCTGATTGGTTTTCATTATGGGGAATTTAGAGAAAAGACGACGGTGATTGGGTTCAAAACGAATAACAACAGTTTAGGAGAGTTTAAGCGATCTTGATAGTGTGAGAAGTTGTAGCTTTTCTTAATTTTAGTTCGTAATTACGTAATCTCAACGAATTTTCTTGTGGGAGACGCAGCGAATACAATATTAAAGGAATCATATTTTGATTTTAAAAGACGGTGAATCTTTACGGTATGGACGCACATAAGCAGGGGAAATTGAGATGATGTTCTTGTAGAGGACAAAATGTTATTGATCTAGGTACATGAAATAATCTGCAGACACCGATAAGCCCACAAATATAAGAGGTCGCAGAAAGTGTCCAAGTCCACTTGGTCCTCTCAAGTTTCGGCTCTATCTTGCTGTGCTTTTGAGGTGAAGGCCATATTTCCCGGGGGTTGCTGGGGATCAGCCAGACTGTAGAGTATTTTGCTTGCGCGGGAAATATTATTTTTTTGTATGTGCGGAAAACATCATTTTGTCTACAGTTGCGCAGGTGGATCTGCAGATGGTTGAATAAACAAGTACGTGGAAAGGTCAGAATAATTTTGTGTGCAGATGATTTTAAAAGACCTAAGCGAGCGTGGAAAATTACCGAACTACACTTGCGCAGACAGAATTTGACCAAACTCTGCACAGACCAAACTCTACTGTCTGGGGGGTCAGAGCCTCCCATCAACCTTCCCCTTGGGCAGTTGCCTGATCACAACAATTTAGATTGTTGAATAAGTTTTGGGTAATTGTTACCAATAGCAACGCACCCTCCCAGAGACAAAGGTGAAAAAAGATTGGGTAGAGGTTACAGAGACCGACACGCATAAACAGACATAAATGAACACAGCCATCTTATAGAACGGAAGAAATAGAGTGGGATAGAACAGGTAATTGTTACAGAGCGAGATGCACCCTCCCAGAGACTAAGTAAAACAGAAAATTGATGTTTTCTGCATGAAATCCTATGATTTCATTGATTTTTGGCGTTTCTTCTGCAAATGAATCGTTCAGGAGATTGAGTACCATTTCTCCATCGACAATCTTGATTTGATAGTCCCGTTAGCAGGGGAGGGCATGAAGTTTATCAGGGAAACTATGGGGCAAAACAAGCTTAAATAAGAATAATAATGATCAAAAATGCGTAAAACTAGCACAAAAATCCCTTAAAATTGGCCAATGAAATTCTACGGATGTAACTGACATCTTTGACATTCTATAGGCTAACGTGCCAGAAATAAAAAAAAACTCTATAGGAAACCCAACTCACCTTTCGGCAAAACTCCAACCCCCCAAAAAACATTGACCAATAAATCAACTTAAGGGAACCGTCCCTAAAAGGGGCGTGGCCAATTATGGGGGTTGGGGGATCATATTGGTAAATATTTCTAAAAAATGAAAGGGCTTACGGATTTTCTTGATTTTTGGATATTTTATGTATTTTCATATTCCGCATCTTTTGATACCAAATCTGTTGGGGTTCCTACGTGGGGGTGCTGTCCCCCTCAAAAAACATTTTTTTCAATTTTTCACATGTGTCTGGGCAAAAAGATTCCTTGTCCCAGAGGATTATAATTTTGTCATGAAAAAAAATGTGAATGAACATCAATGAATTCCGAAGAACACTACCAAGCCTTTTTTTGGAAATCCGATTTAGTTTCCTCAGAAAAAAAAAATAAAAAATTATATTTTTTTAGTCTTTTCGATTTTTCAAAAAATTCGTATAAAAAAATTAAGCAACATTTCAATAAAATTGCTTGGTAGTTGTCTGCGCATTTCTACAAGATTTCCAAAGATATATCCAAAATTTTAATCGGATAAAAACTCTAGGACAAGGAATCTTTTGAAGCTCGAAAAAAGAAACATCAAAAAACAAACAAACAAAAAGTTGGATATTTGAAGATCATTTTTTATATTTTTTTCATGGTAATTGTTGAAGACTGCGACGCACCCTCGCAGAGACTAAGTAGAAAAAGATTGTTTTTCTGCATGAAATCCTATGATTTCATTGATTTTTGGCGTTGTTTCTTTTGCGAATGAATCGTTCAGGAGATTGAGTACCATTTCTCCATCGACGATCTTGATTTGATAGTCCCGTTAGCAGGGGAGGGCATGAAGTATATCAGGGAAATTATGGGGTAAACAAGCTTAAATAAGAATAATAACGATCAAAAATGTGTAAAACTAGCACAAAAAGCACTTAAAATCGGCCAATGAAAACTCTACGGATGTAGCCACCATCTTTGAAAGTTTACGGACTGACGCAAAAATAAATAAAAACTACGGAAACCAACCCACATTTCGGTAAAATTCTACGGGAATTTCACGCGTTCCAACCCCAAGAACTTATTGACCAATAAACCAACCTAATATATCAATATAAATTGCTGTGACTAGGCGTGCCCTTCGGGCACTGCCCGAGGGGAGGGTTGATGGGGGGCAAGCCCCCTAACACTCCCAGGACACATTCTCTTCACCACGGTATGTACGGCAAGACAGAGCTGCATTCACACCGTAAAATAATAAACCAAATACCTTTATATCCGGAAACGTGAAACTTTCGTTTCTTTGTACTGTTGGTATTGCTTCGATTTTAATCAACCTATTTTCATCCTTTGGAGCTCTTGATGGGCTCAGATATAAAACTGGATAGTTACTGAAGTCTAATTATTCTTCAATGCCACTGTAAAGGTCTTAAAAAGAACCCAGAATCAACACAACACTGGAAACGCAACATTTCTCACCGGCTTTCAATCTCGAAATGAGCGGTATGGTGAGCTGTCAACCTGTGGCTGGCGCAAGAAAGTGTGAAACACTCGATGTGCAGGATTCGATATGAGGGTATAGATAAATATAAAAATATGCAAATGAAGTATAATAACATTACTAAAAGACTTTAAAGGTATAAATGCATACCAGCAGACACAGATAATTAGCCAAATATCGTTTTTGACAAGCGCGTAATGATACACGGACTGGTTCGCGAACGCAAAAATGCGTTCATGGGTCAGTGTCGTGTTTTTCCTCGCAAGGTAAACAAGCTCATTGACCTTGAATTTGAAAGGCTTCCGCGCATTATATTTTCGTAATTTAACGGTAAATATAAGGCCTGTGCATCTTAAGATTACTTCTTTTTCTTACTCTATTTCTTCCGCTCTATAAGGTGGTGGTGTCCATTTTCCTCTATCTACGCACGTCACAATCTTCATCCTCTACCACCTTTATATCTGGAAACGTGAAACTTTCGTTGTTTCTGTGTACCTTGGGATTGCTTCGATTTTAATCACCTTTTTGTCATTTGAAGCTCTTGATGGGTTCAGATATAAAACAGGGATGGTTACCAAAGTCTAATTATTCTTTGGTGCCACTGTAAAAGTCTTAAAAATAACCCAGAATCAACACAACACTGGAAACGCAACATTTCTCACCGGCGTTTTACCTTGAAATGAGCGCGTGAGGTGTCAAATTCTGGCAGCAAGAGCAAGAAAATGTGAAACACTCAACGTGCACGATTCTATGGGGGTATAGATCAAATATTAAAATGTGCAAATGAAGTATAATAATATTAATAAGAGACTTTAAAGGCATAGATGTGAAAGTCTGAAATGCAAGATGTGCATATCATTCTAAATAAGTATAGATAACTCTTAAAAACGTTTAAATGAAGTAAATAACATTAATAAGACTTTAAAAACCTAAATGTGTAACAGCAGACACTGATTAGGGAAATACTGTTTTAACAAGCCCGTAGTAACACATGAACTACTATGTTTATCACAGTAATGAATTATGCAGTCAGATTTGTTATTCCTGGCAAGGAAAACAAGATGAGCATCTTAGAATCTCAGCAGTGATATGCAGGGTATATTTTCGGCATTTAACAGTGAATATGAGGCCACTGCAGCTTGAACTATGTTGTATCCTATTCTATTTCTTCCGCTCTATAAGATGGCGTAGTCACAACATGCCCCAGTTGTGGTGACTCCCATAATGCATTTTATAGGAGTTGCCCTGCCTATAACCTCAAATGTGAGGTAGCATTCCACAGATTCAAACTAAGCCTCACCCTACATGAAGCCAGACATAAGGTTTTTCTCTCTACCTACTCCAAAAGTCATTTGCTCTGCTCCCCCTATATCTTCACAAGATGCTTCTGCATCTCCCCTAGTATCTCTTCCCTCTACCCTGAACTATCATACCTCTATCTCAGTTGAATTTTATTTTCCAATCCAAATCCAATTACTCTAGTCTCTACCATTTCTTAGATGCCTCTCTTTCCTCCTCACTTTACCTATCACACCAGACAACCTAAATGTTTCCACTCCATCTTTGCCTTCTACACCCTCTACTACAACCTCCTTTTCCTCTATTCCTCGAACATGTATCCCCTCTTCTCCTCACAAGAGATCCTTTGTTTTTCAAACCTCTACACCCAAATCCCCTTCAGAAACTCTTGAAGACGTCCAAAAATTCCTAGAAAAAAAAACAAGAATGTTCCACTTCCTCATCCAGCTTCCAGTCCTTCCATTCCTATTCCCTCTATGTTCAAAGTATTTGCCAATATTCATCCTCCTCACCCTCAAATTTCTCCAACCCTTCTTTCTCCCACTCTTTTCCAATACACCCCATCCTCTTCTCTATGTGCACCATTCCCCTTGTGTTCCCCATTATCCTTACCTCTCCCACCTAGGTAATCACACGAATCCTTTCTGAAACCACAGTGTCCTGCTCAGGATTCCTCTCCTCTTTATGCTCTTCCTGATACTTCACCTGCTTCCCAGATTCTTCTTATGCTGTTACTCCTACAGCCATCTCTTCCATATAACCCATTGATTACTTCATAATAGCACTTTTACCAGTGTTCCGTAGACAGTATTCCTATAGTTTCCCCATCAACAGATGTATTCTATTTCATCCAATTGTCTTGTGCCCTTCCTTCACTAATCTCGGATATACTTTGCACCCCCTCTATACCTTTTTCCGTATCATACTGTGATACGTACATACTATGACACTATAACCTTTGACATTTGATACTCTTTATCCTGATCATTAACCCATTCTTACCCTTTTTGCCACAGTACTTTACCATTTTGCTATATGACCTTAGACGTCTAGCTTTTGTTTCAATCATTAACCATAATCCCCCCACCCCCCTCCACAGTACGACCTTCACTAAGCTTGGGGATGGTCACCTATGACTTGGGAAATATCTAAGAACTGTTTCAAACAAAGGAGAACACTATATTCAATTATATATATGAAATAATCTAAGGCAATAAAAGTTGGAAGTAAAAAGAGGAAGCAAAGAAAGGCCACAGAAATAAGGCAATTGGGTGGGAGTGTAGGAAAATTTTTTTTTACCATAAGTGCCCCCAAGGTTATTTGCTGGAGTATTAAGAATGTCATCTCAAAAGGGGTGCAGTTGCTCTGTAAACAAGTACCCTATCTTTATATCTTTGTGTCTGTCTGTTACGAATTTTTTGTGCAATATCTGATAGTTTATATCAAATATATGTAACATTTATTCATGTCTGTGTATGTATAAATAAGTGTGTGTATGTAGACAGAATGTTTGTGTATGTATGAACCTAATTAACTTGAATGAATATATAATTGTAAACCACTGAACACAAAATGCACATTAAATGATGCATTGGGTAATGAAGGAAAAAGTCTCCATCTGGTGATGTAGGCGAATGCACAAATATTCTGGTAAATAAAGTCAACTACTGATAATATGCATGACCAACTATGCTTAAGCAGTGTTTTCCACCCTCTTTGTGAACTTCGTGTTGGGATGGGAATAGAGAGGCACTTTGATATAGCTTCAACTGCTTTGATTATTTGTAGAACTTGATCCTTTATTTTTTTGTATTTTTTATCTTCTTCCTTGTCTTCTTTTTTTGTCATGGATTCTTGCATATTTTTCTTTTGCTTTTTTCCCCCCCTCGTTATATTTCTGTCATACATTTTCCTTTTATTTTCTCTCCTTTAATTTTGCACAAATCTTTTACAAACAACTGTATAAGCATCATACTTCACTTGAGCAGGTATTTGTTGCATGTGAATGTAGTTTTACCTTTCTTTAAACATACAAAAATTTAATCTTTAAAAAAAATTATGCAAAATTGCTCAAGGTAAATGTTTGGTTTGTAGGGTATTTTGTCTTTATACTCTGCATGGTGGGTCTATTTAACTTGACTATTTAGTATATTTTTTATGCATTAACTCCTTTTTTTTTTTTATCTTCTACAAATTTATCATTGTTATTAATTATCATTCCATCTTTTTAGTTTGGACGATGGGCTGCCTTGCTGACTGGCATTGTCTATGGTAGCAGCCACTTCAAGACTCTGAAAGCCAAGGAAACCATTCTGCGGGAGGAGGAGGCCAAGCAGGCTACCATCAGAAATGCCCAGCTTGAAGAAGAAAAGAAAAAGCTCAACAGAGGTAAGTCAGATTGAGAAATCGGTTCTATTAGGAAGACCCTGGTTAAATCCGTGGTTTTCATATTGAAATACTTTAATTAATTACAAAACTTTTCTTTGATAAATATGTACAAGCATGGACATCTTCAAAGTTCTGAGAAGTAATCGTACTGTACTTAAATAAGTAATTCTACTTTAGGTTCTTCTGAGATGCATGTTTATATGGCATGTTTAAAAGTTTTGACATTGATGTTCGTTTTTTCTCCCCCACAGACGAGATGATATACCTGGCTGGTCAAGCAGGAGTGAAGGTCCCGGCAGATTTCTAGTGTTAACATGTATATTTCTAGACTGGGTTGCATCAGCGAAATTTCTATGGTTGAGTGGTTGAGACACCTAACCCAATGGCAAAAAGTAAATATCTGTATAAAGTGTAACTTTATTAAATAAGAACTTGTAATGTGAATTATTATTTATACCTTTTTACATTTTATTATACTTGATAGAAAATGCTCTTTAAAAATAAATTGCCCAATATATTACCAAAAAGATTGATATGTCTTTGCTAATCATAAATTTAGTTTTACCAAAGCTTGTTGTACAAAGCTATATTATGTACATATTATATACAATAGCTTTTAATAGGGATTCAAAGAAAGTTACAATTAACTGAAGCTTTATTTATTTACTTGTTTTATTTAATCATCATATACAGAAAAAATCAAATGCATGATCTTTGGTATTGTGCAAATTGTGGTTAAACATATAAAACTTTGGATATACTTCATTGGTCTTTCCCTGTTGACAAATATTAGCAGTACTTGTTCCAGCAAGAATATTTTCCCACGAACAGAGCTGGTCACCAAGCATGCTCAAGACGTGATGTCATGAGCCAGACAAAAGAGTTTTGCAAGTGAAATTAGAGGTCTTGATAGTAGGTTGCCTATTTATCAGGTCCACTTGTCTGGACATTCCTAAACCCACTGCACTGTCTGTTTTGTTTGTGAATTTTGTATACACATGAATGATTCAAGTGTTTAGTCACCAAAGAAAATTAGTGGGCCTACCAAACCCAACAGATTACTCTCATTCCTTGAATTTTTATTTGTTTTTCCAATGCTATTATTATTGATTTTCCAATATTATTTAGATCAAATGTTACTAACATTACTAATTGTAAAAATCTATTCATCAACAAAAAGGTAAGCGGGTGAGGTCAGGTAGGCCTATTTATTGACTACTTGGTGACAAAGCATTTCTGGAGCACCTATATGTGAAAACTAAAAAGTATGTCCTGGATATGTCAGAGGGTTAATGCAGTCTAAAGCAGTGGACTATTGCAAAATCATTTTATCAGGTGAATTTGATGGTACAAGGTGAGCTATTTATATTATTATTATTATATTAAGCTATATAATGAGCCAAAACTGAAAAAATCGAGATATATACCACCAAAGGTGTCAGTGCAGGTCAAGATACAGCTAAGAAAGAATGAATAAAAGAAAGTCAGCTAATTACGTAAGAAAAACATGTTAGCTGACGTTTTAAATTTGTCAAGAGTCGAAGTTACAATCTCTGAAGGCAATAATCTAATATTAAAAATATTAAAAATTAATATTATTAAATTTTTATTAATATTAAAAAGGTAATATTAATCCTTATAAACCCCATTGTGCCAATGAAAAATGTTTCCACTTGAAAGTTGTAAGAAACCAATAATAAGAAAATCTTTCTCTGCTCATCTTTCATGACAGGCAGTAAAACAAAAAAATGTCAGTGGCAGGGAATTCTAATGTGAAGCATACATTTCCTTCCCTTTGCAAGTGATAACCAATTTGGAGCAACCAATAAATCAGGTTTAGAATATTTTGTGGCATATAATCACGAGAGCATTGGAAAATGAAGGTTAGTTAAAAATATACTTTTTGAAATGCATATAGTCTATTTTTTAAACTTGGCAAATACAATATCAATCTTTTTGATAACAAAAAAGTTGCCTATGTGTCAGTATAAAACAAAGGTAAATGTTAATTTAACAGATTTCATATTCATTTGGAAGCTTTTGTTAGTTGCAGGCTAACACCAACTCCTAATGCCTCAACTTATAAATCAAGTAACATTATAACAAACATTCATATTTAACAAATGTACTACCAAAGAAAAAAATCATATGCTGTCCACCTGACTAGAAAGTTTATATAATCTTAAAAGAAAAACAAGATTATGTGCGATACCTCTATATGTTTTTATAGGCCCTCATTTAAAGTTGTAAGCAAAACAGACTGTCAATTAAGGAACTCGGGACTTAACCCTGGCAAAGGACCTTTAGTTTTTACTTATTAATCTTGAAAGCAATCAACATATATATATATAGAGAGAGAGAGATAGATTTGTTTATAATCATACTTCAAGTAAAAGGTATAATTTTCTTAAATAACTGTTATTTTAAAAATGTAAATAATTTTGCAGCACTTTTTTTTTCTTTTTTTTTTGGTCTGGAGCTACACTTGGAGGTATTTGAACATTTTAAAAAAGATGTATAGTACAAAGTGCAACAAAACTGCACTAAACACAAACATTCAAATGCAGAGTGCCAGCAAAAATTTTCTATTTATAAGTAGTGTATAGCTGCCATTATATTTGTAAAGTGCCCTTATGCAGAAGTGATACATAGACCTACAACCTTACCATTAAATCACACCATATACCTATCAACCAAAACCTAGTCTTCGTCCAAGCATCGGTTGACATGTTCTTCTAGAGGGCGATATTGGGCAAAGGATTTGTTGCATTTGGGACAGTAAAATAGATTTTCATCAATTTCCTCTTCTTTCTTGTCCTCTTCCTGAAAGGTGTGGGCAGGTATATAACATCAGTTATTCTAAAACAATTTTTCTAGAATTTAATAGTTGTTAGAAATCTTGACTTGAAAATGTTAATCATTTATTACTTCATAATTATTCCCAAACATTTTCTCGAGTATGTATACTGTCTTGCAATCTGCACTAACTTGGAAATGGTAAAAATTATCATCAGCAATCTTAATTCTCTTCTTCGTATTTTATTTTTAAAAACACTTTTGTAGTAAAAAAGGAAACAAAGCCAAAAGCATATACACCCAAACAAAGTATGCATTGCTATTGATCTTACCTTTTTGTCTGAGGTATTGGAGAGCTTATCCCACAAGACCTCAGGAGAGAGCAAGGCACCACCTCCATGAGGAATGGAGACTCCTCCCCCTCCTCCTCCACCAGATGCTGTTCCCCCTATTGGTTCTTCTGACGCCGCACGAGATCCTCTACCCTGCCTGTAATTAATTCATTATTTTACTTCATTCACAATTCATTAATTAATGACATACCATCCCCACATGAGTTTGATTTATTTATTGTATTTGAACATTGATGGCTCCGCAAGTGCTTTGTCAATGAGTGAATCACTATTATAACTTTTACTTGTTTACCCTTTTCCTTTAATTTTAAAATATGTTTTATTTGATTTTACGTTGCTATTAGTATTAATGAAAACAGTTCAAAATTATATAGTCAATAATAACAGCATTTATAGCATTTGAAAAAGAAAGAAAGAAGAAAAATCATGAAAACAGAGAGAAAGAAGAAGAGAAAGAAAGGAGAGAGATAGAAATAGAGGTAATGAGAAAGAGATTGAGATATAGGTAATGAGAAAGAAAGAGAGAGAAAAAAAAAAAGAAAGAAAGAGAAAGAGAAACAAACAGAGAGAATGAGAAAGAAAGAAAAAAGAAACAGAGAGAAAGAAAAGAGAGAGAAATACAATACCCTTGGTTAAGATGTCTTCGCTGATACGCCTCCAATTCATCTACCAGCTGAGTGTTCCTTGTCTGAAGGTGCCGCAATTCATCCCGTAATTTCTCCCGGTCTGTTGCCAAGGCTTCTCTGGCCTCTCGCTCAGCTCTAAAGTCTCCCTGGTATACCTCCACCTATAAATAAGGTCACACAAAAAACAATTAAGACAATAGAGACCACAGAGTCCCTTAATGCACTGGTACTGGGATGGAATTTGTACATACATGATGTGTCCACTCTCATTTTTGTATATCAATTTTGTTTACACATCAATGGCGCCATAGGAGGTAAGTCACCAAGAAGTAAATTACTAGTTTTACCTGTCTAACCAGCTTACTCCTTTTCTTGATTTTTGGTAAGATTTCTCCCAAATATTTACAGAATGGGAAAATCATGTGTAGTCCTGTAAATTTACTAACTGATTCCTTCATTACTGACTACATGTGAAGCCATCTCCGTGCAAACAAAACAAGAGTGGACCCTAGTATATTTGTGGGTGAATGCCTTTTTGATTCCCAGCAATCTATTTTTGAAATAAGCATCACAAAATTCTGTAAATGATATGTTATTTCATTTGCACAAAAGTTCTAAATCTTCTCCAACAAGTAATATTTTTGTACATTATAAATGTCAAAAATACTTTGTATTGACCATGAAAAGGCGGTCCTCTGTTTTTGACTATTCAACCCTTTCTATACGTGGACTGCATAAAAAAAAAACTTACCTTTAAAATGGGAGCTTATAAATATTTGCAGTCCACGTATAGAAAGGGTTGAATAGTCAAAAAGGGGAATTATAAAAAAAAAACTTACCTTTAAAATGGGAGCTTATAAATATTTGCTTACAGAACTAATGCCTATCTGACATTATATCCTGCTGACTTACTTTACTATTGCATATTAATAAAATCTTCAATTATTAAAAGCTGGAGACAGTATCAAAGCCTTTGTATATCTCAAGCAAAGATCACACATTCAAACACTTTAGCACATATTCATTTTTTACCTGAGCTCTGAGGATGGCAATGGTCTCTCCCTCACTTGCACGTTCAGCCAGAGATGCCTTAGCTTGGCCGAGATCCTTCTTCAGTCTCGATAGCTCATCGTTCTTTGCGGCCAGTAGTTCTTCGTATGACATGAGCTTGGCTGTTGCTTCATCGTATTTCTCACTCGCTGATTTGATCTGATGGATTACAAATTGCAATTATCACAAGTTAGAAAAATTAATTAAGTAAAAAATAATAGAAACTGAAAAAAAAAAAAAAAAACAATCCCAAAATAGTACCTGAGAGAGAGAGAGAGAGAGATATCACCAAAGCATCAAAACAAATACAGACTTGATAAATCCTCACCTTGACTTGATAATAGTGGTCATTCTGTGTTTCTCTTTCCAATCGCTCTTTTGTTTCCTGGAGTTCCTTTTTCAAACGACCTAACTCCGAATGGGATTTGGCTAAAGCTGTGCGTTCATCAGCTGTCTTCTGCCTTTCTGCTGTCAGGGCTGCGTCTAATGTATCAACCTTGAGGGAACAAATCATGATATGCATAATAAATGAACAAGAGAGTAATTCTGAAATTCCTGTTATAAAGACTTAAAATAACAATTAATTCTCTTATCTTTCAATGATTTAAGAAAGTGAATGCAAGAAATAATGAGTTTCTTAACAACATATCTGTATTAGTCTCCACAGTCAACTATCTTCCTTGGACTGGTATCAAACATGCTGTACTGTTTGGTAAAAATGCACAAACAGTACTCCCCTACTAGTGTCGAGAAAAGTTGAACAATTGTGCAACCCACACCAGAAAGAAAACATCAAGAAATACCCCCAGCTACAGAATTAACAAATGATTTCTTGAAGAAAAAAAATATGTAAAATGATAAAATAAATATATGCATCTTGCAATATTATGTCCTTTAACATTCTTGCACTGTTTTTCCCAGGATGTTGCTTTTATATAAATTTGAAATTTGTTTTTTTAACATCTATTTGTACAAAGGTGGTCTTAAGAGTTTTATAAGATCCTCTTAGACAATGCTAGGACCATGCACTGTATCCACATGCAAACAAACACCTTATTTGGGAGCCATACTAAGAACATAAAGAGCAACTGTATCTCAGAGGCCTTGCACTGACTTGTCACAAGAGGAAATAACTCTGGATGGAGGGCCAGATGCCTTTACAATGGATGGGAAGAGGTGGTAATTAATCTACCAGTTCCTCCTTCCAATGACTTTCATCATACTTGAAGTACACATGTAAAAACAGAGGAGTTTAGACAACAGTCACACACAGGGGGACACATGATCTTTGATGCTGCCATCTTCACCAAACACTGTGGGGTTGTTCTTCTGGGAGCTTCCAATGAATTTAGATATAAGAGTTTTTTCTGTGGAACATGAAGTCACCCAATAACATAGGGCAATAGAGAACCTCTTAAAAGGACACTAACAATTCTACTATTGGTCTCTTCAGTCAAGCTCATTAAATTCCTATAATTCATAAATGAGAAAAAATAAGTCTATATCTCCTAATGAATTTATCCTATTCTCTTCACATTTATTTCAGAGATGTAGGCTTGTTTCAACTACTATCTCAGCCCATAGATCAACAATCTCTGATCCACTTTGATGGGCCTTTGAAGTGGATCAGAGAAAAAAACTATGTATTAGATTCCACAATTATTTTTTCAATGTTAGTCACTAGAATGTAGCATATGCCCATCATGGTTATAAAGAAAACACACTTTTCCCTACATCAGGCTACTTAATATATGATCCTTTCATCCTGCAAAAAAATGAAGTGGAAGGGAAGGGCAAGGAGAGGTTTAGAGCTTGAATGGTTTGGTACTTGTTAAAATTTTCTTTTCTGTTATCTTTCTTGTGCAGATTTCACAATAGTACAAATTTCTGAAACACAGGTTGAGTAATACTGATTATGCATATTTGCTAGGTGCTACAGCTTGTGGACACCAGGCACCAAAGACAGATAGAGAACATTTACTATTTGTCAAATGTCTTATTTTTGCATTCTTACTAAATTCTATAAATCTGCTGTCTCACCTCTTCTCTCAGCATAGCTGCCTCATCCATTAGCCTTTTTCTCTCCAAGGCATCCAGTGGTTCCTGAAATTTTATTTTCTCTTAATCATCATACAATACTTTCTTCTTTAAATATAATTCTGTCATAGTATATACATGTCCATGTGTATGTGGGTGCACCATATGTTAACAAGTTAGGACACATAATATCAAAAATGCCGTTTTCACAATACCAGTGGAACAAATTTCTCGTTATTGATCATAATTACTCTTGAATAAAAACAAAATACTGAAAATCAATTAGCCCCACAGAAATGCCAATTTACATTCATGTAGTCACCTGATACACACCTTTCTATCGGAAATGGTAGGAGCATGTGCAAAGGTAGCATCAATTTTTGACTGCAAGTTTCGGCAGCGTTCTCGGTACATAGAAGTTTCTTCTTGTGCCCGGTGTACTTCTGATTCTAGACCTTCAACCTAATGTTTACAACCGTTAGGAAAGGCTTCATTAATGTTTCAATGTATATATCTAAATAAATAAATAAATCAAATGTGACACAAATACAGACAAATGAAAGAAAGAATAAAGGAAAAAAGACATATCAAATAAGTGACTGCTGTTTACCTGAGTGCGAGTATCATGGAGTTCCTGAAGGAGGGTGGCCGAGGTATCTTGTTCCTTCCGAAGCTGATCTTTCATTTTCTTGATTTCTACTTCACCAAGAGGATTATCCATACCCTCTGTGACAATGTAAATAAGGTATTATAAACAAGCTGATTCCCTAATCAATACAAAACAGCCTCTCCCTGAACACTTTATATACACAAACCAATAAATAAAAGAATAAAATCATAACATCCCTTGCTTTTGTGAGCATACTTCAATATCACTTATCCCTACTTTGCAACAATATGTTTTTGAGTGACATGATGCTATGCTAGAGACTAAAGAAAACAATAGATCAGTTCTTGTTTTCAATGTACGAAAGCCACATCAACATTACCATAGACAGGGCTAGCTTCAAGGGATCGAGCCTTTGCTGCAGCTCCCTCTCGAACTTGCCGTAGCTGCTGCCTAAGCTCGTTGGCTGTGCTCAGGAGCTCGAATCTCTCCAGCTGGAGGCGCTCCTGTTCACTCCGTGTGGTAGTTAGGTCACACTTTAAGAAAACAGTTTAATGGGCACTCAGTAATAATGCTTTAGGAGTCTTATGTAATTCATTCATACAGATATAATAGTGACTTATTAATCTAACTCATATATGAGCTTTTGTTATTTACTTTCTATCTCAAGCAAAACCCAAAAGGTAAAGCTAAAATTTCATAAAATTACAGAATGCTACTATCAATTCATCACACTATGTCTGTGTATTCCTTTTCTTACGGCCAAAGAAAATATGATAAATGTACTTTATACATATAATTACATAAATAAAGAAAAAAAATCAATAAGAGCATTACAGGACAAATGTTATTCATAAAACTATTCAACAAAATATATCTAAATCTTAAGAGAATCACTAAGCAACTTTAATCGTTCCTTGTGTCGCATAAAAAAAAGGTAAAACTCACCTTTAGGAGAGTGATGTCTCCTTCTAAGCGTGACCTCTGTGCAATCAACTTCTCCCTTTCATCTTGAACCTGCCGTAAATTCCTCTCTGCTACTTCCAGCCGAGTGTTAAGCAATCTTATGGTCTCGTCTAGCTCTTGGAATCGTGGTTGAGTCACATCAGATGTCTTAGAGAGAAGATAACCTGGATCAATCATTTCATTTTCTTTCTTTTTTTTTTCTTTTATCAGTCAAGACAATTCAAAATTATTTGCCTGTCTAATTATCAACAAAGATAAAATTGATCATAGATTCTTCAAAATTACTTGCATTACTAATAATCTAGAAAAAATCTGAATATACATTCTGTTAACAACTATTTTCGTCTTCTTTTACATAAATCTGTCAAGGTACATATAAATTCCCCATATTTTATTCCTACCATCCAATCTGCATCAAATAAGTTTTCCACAGGTTACAGGTAAGCAGTTGAACTTACCTTGGTGCCTGCAAGATGGGCCTTTAGCGTCGCATTTTCTTGCTGAAGGGAGGAAAGCTGCTGACCAAATTCAAGGAGTTGCTGACGATGATGATGCTGCTGCTGTTCATTCTGTTGATTCCACTTCACCACCAAGGCAAGCTGCTGTCTCAGAGCCAGGTTGTTTTGTGCAATAGTCTCTGTCATTTACAAATCGGAAAATTAGTCGGGTATTTGCTGCTTACCAGAAGAAATCTCTCCACCAATTATCATAACTCTTCACTTATGATATTTAAAAGCTAAAATTTAAAGTGTATCAATAGTCAACAAGAAATATGATACACAAGATGGGAAAAAAACATGAGCATATATATATCTATACATATTCTAAAAAATACATATACCGTTAGGGAGTTTCAAATATACCTTTGAGTTCCAAATTTTCATTAACAACGCTGCGGAGCTTGGCAATAAGTTCATCTTGACACACTGTCCCCTCGGCACTTAGTAATGTTGTCAAGGATTCCTGTATGAAAGAGAAAATTGCATATATTTTCCAACATTTCTATAATTTATTTGGGGCACAATCCATCAACATCACCTAACTTCATAATGTTTATGTTTGATGATTGGTAACCTCATGGATAATATCAAATTCAAAAGCTTGTGTGTGCGAAAGACTTTAACAACAGTACTGACAACTCAAAGCTCATTGAGTGCTCACAGAGAGGTAAAGGGAACTTGTTCTTGCATTGCAAAACCTTTCTTTACAGTACAAAGGACCTTTCTTGCATTGAGTTGAGGGGGAGGGGGGAATCTAACATTCTTAAACACACCAAAGCTCCTACAGAGGTAAAGGGAACTTGTTCTTGCATTGCAAAACCTTTCTTTACAGTACAAAGGACCTTGCATACACAAACATTCATCAGTTCAGAATTAAACATTACTGAGCCAAACCTGCACTTCCGAAGCTATGCCATTCGCATTGGTACCAGCAGTGGGAGGTGATGTTATGGGCGGCAACGAGTCTATGCCTGGGGACGTCACTCCACACAAGCCTCCCTGTCCCATCATGGGCTCATCTTGACGCACCATCACTCCTGTTGTTGAAAGATACAGGGCTTTAAGAAGGACATTCACACACATGGGTAAGCAATACTGTTTAATATCTTTATGAAGAAGCAATCTACTTTTTACTAAAACACACAGACACACACTTACTCTCACTATCTCTCTCTCTGATTTCTTAAAAACATTTAAAGGAAAATAAGGAACTGAACATATAAATTCTTCCAGTTAATCCATAAAAAAAAGAGAAATGAAAAAAAAAAAAGAGAAATTAAAATTTAAAAATCAGAACGAAAAATCAAACACATTTACTGCAACATAAACTTTCAAACCTCACAATATTCTTACATTAATCATCAGCCTAAGGTGTGCTAGAATGACTTTCTTCAAACAGTTTCAGTCTAATCTTTAAACCAACTCTTGCTTAACTGATATGACCAGACACAGTTTATATACTTACAAACATTCCATCAAAAGCTGGCTGAGAAATATGTTCAGTAGTTAATATCAGACTAAAATAAGAGACATTAAGAAGAAAAAGAAGAAGAAGAAGAAGAAGAAGAAGAAGAAGAAGAAGAAGAAGAAAAGAAGAAGAAGAAGAAAGAAGAAGAAGAAGAAGAAGAAGAAGAAGAAGAAGAAGAAGAAGAAGAAGAGAAGAAGAGAAGAGAAGAGAAGAGAGAAGAAGAGAGAGAGAGAGAGAGAGAGAGAGAGAGAGAGAGAGAGAGAGAGAGAGAGAGAGAGAGAGAGAGAGAGAGAGAGAGAGATTTTTTTTTTACACTAGTACGAAAAACCTGGATTCTTATTGCGTAATGAGATATTTGATATAATAAATAAATAAATAAATAAATAAATTTAATCCTATTAAAAACCATGATTTGATATTTTTTCCTGAACTTGTGAGTTTTTTGGTGTCAGCTCCATGAGAATAAAACTTGCATTGTGTTTTTCTAACTATGAAAAATTCTATTAAAAAGAAAAGCCTAACTTTTCAGCTGAAATAAAATCATCTTTAATAATTACACTCATTCTCTTCATAAATTGGGCTTTTGCCTCTGAGCTTCCTTCTATTAGGCATGGAAAATATAATTCTAGGTTTGTCTTTGTTCAATACCAAAAGACCATTCTGGATAAATTTGCTCATAAATCCATAAAGTTACCCTGTTTACTGTATTGTCACAACACTCCAACATTTCTCCAACAAAACACCACCTTTTCGCACATCTGACAGCCCTCCAACATTACTCAAACACTTTCAAATAAAATACCTTACTCAAACACTTCTCAAATAAAACACTTTCAAATAAAATAACTCTCCTCCAACTATTACACTACCTTTCCAACTATTCTGACACCCCTCCAACCTAACCCTAGCATTTCTTCAATAAAAATTTCCCATCTACATTAAACCATCCCTTACACCAACACTTCTCTGACAAAACACCTATACAACACTAGTTTCACACCCCTCCAACCATACTCCAACAAAACACCTCTCCTCCAACTTTTACACTACCTTTCCAACTTCCTTCTGACACCCTTCTAACCATACCCCAATACTTCTCCAACAAAATACCTCTCTTCCGACATAACACCACCTTCTTGAAAGCTGTAGCATAAAGCACTATGACAGGTTTATGCAAGATGTTTCCAACAGTAGTCTTACACCCTTCAAACCTTACTCCAACAAAAACATCTCTCCTCCAACATCACCTAACACTATTTTCCCAACACCAGTCTGTTGCCCCTCCAACTTTATCCCAACATTTCTCTGACATTACACCACTTTTCATACTACCACTCACACCCCTCCAACCCTACTCCAACAATTCTCCAACACTTAGCCTCTTCTCTGACATGGCCCTAATGCTTCTCCAAATTGCTGTCTAATGGACTGGCAACATGGTGAGCGACCAGCAGTTCTCTAAGTCGGCTAAACCATAAACAAGAATTTTTGAAGATCGATGATTACGTCTCAACTTGGCAGCTAAAGGGGAAAAATCCTTAGGATGATGACTTTATCCGATTACGCCACTCTGATCTCTACGAATCACTAAAGCTTTACCATTCATCTTACTGCTTTTTTGATCAGTTTTAGAGGTTTCGAAAGTATGTGGCATAGAGGTTGTGACTTAT